GAGAATACATTTTCATTGATTTAGGCCCGCCAGTTTGTGGTAATTAGTTACGGCAGCCCCAGGAAACTAATACAGAAGGTGAGTACTTTTTTCCTTAAAGATGAGACTGGGCTTATGCCTCAGCTCTGTGAGTGAGGCAGCCAGGCTTCTGATCTGGGCATCCCTGGACAGCTGAGGAATTGAGTTCCCATCCCAGACATCGGTCTGAGGGTGAGTCCACCGCCATGTCCACGCTGCCTGGGCAAGCTCACCACTGCCAGCTCACCCCTCCTGGGAAGGGATGAAAATCAGCCTTTCATGAAAAGACCTTTGGAGAATGTCCAGGAGCTTTCAGGCAGTCAAAGACCAACACACGGAAATGTGAAATATTGTGTTCCGTGTAGGGACCTCTAAGTAGATTTATTTGTTGCTTGACTATAAATTGCAAGGAATCAGAAATGGGAATATAAACATCAAATATTAGGTATTTCTATTATTACCCATTTTACAGGGTTATTGAGAAGACCAATTAAGTGTGTAAACCAAAAGCTTATTGGTATATCCTGGAAAATCATTAAAAAATGTTACATCATAATACAGTATTTTGGATGCAGCTGGCTTCATTGCCAGACCCTGGAGCTGTAAAGAAACCTAAACCTCTCTATATTAAATATGTAGGTGCATTTCCAGAAGGCTCTACTGAATGTGGTTTACAGGTGTCCCTCATGCAAGGATCCTGTGATCGTCTGAAACCCATGCCTTTTAGATTAAATATTGACACAGAGAGATGGGATCCAGCTAGGTAAGGAGCGGATATGAGCATTACTAACATTTCTCAGTCTTTACTTAGCTATTCTATTTTAATCTACTTTTAATATAACTATGTGCAAAGGTATAACAATAATTGATGCATTTTAAGTCGTTACATACTTGATAAAAATTAAGAATTTAAGAATTATAAGGAAATATAGAAATAGCAAACTGAGAAAGCACAGAAGAAATGTCAATGAAAAATTAGAGGAGAAAGCACATGATGATAAGACTAAATAATCTTTACAAGGAGGAAGATGGACAAAACATACTGGAGAAGAATGACTGGACATTAGGAGAAGAACAATATGCCAAAGCACTAATTAAATAGAAGTCCTGATCACAGACAATTGATGAGAGATAATCAGCTCTGATGAAGTTACAACGCCGAGCACTGTAATGTAAGTTAAGCAGACAGGTCCATATCAGATAAACTTACCAAAAACTATCGTAATGGAAAGTCCACCGAAAATTAGGAAGAATGACCAAGTTTATGCGGGGCTGTCGCAATTTCATGATGTGATAGCTGCCAGTGTGCTGCCCAGCCCTTAGGAGCTAATGTGGTGTGCCGCCTGTGTTTGCTCCAATTGGGCATCTGACCCGGCTGGGTGGTGTCCACCCTGTCCTAGTTATTAAATCTTTTGACTATAATCTCTGCCTGTGCCCAAACTGAACCATTTGTAGTTCCCTGTGCGAAGGGCCAAACACTTCTGAATGTGGGAGCACTCATGATTCTCTTTCCTTAATTCACCAAAGAGAATCCTCTAATTGCCATTACATTTTCCCTCAGCATAAAAAGGAAGGATTTTTGTTGCTGTTGTTCCAGTTGCATCTGAGAGGCTAAGTTATCTACATAACAGAGTGCTGCTGGAGGAGGGGAAAGGAAGGAAAGTCTCGAAGGCTAGGGGTGGAGAAGGTATTTTGGTCAAAGACTTCCAGGAGTCTCTCAGAGTAGCTTTGGGGTGTGAAAGAAAGAAAGAGGAGAGGAGACTTAATAAATGCTGCTGTGGGTTACACATTTGGGTCTACTTTACCATCTGCTGAGAAACGTGCAGAAAAATGAAATTATTTAAAATGATTTTTGGCTGTTAAATTGGACTTCTTAAAGCATGTATCCGCTAGATTGGTTGTGGTTCACAGGCTGCAGTGGAATTCCTCCACATGATCTTAGAATGTTCCTTGTGCTCTTTCTCATGCTGCACCTTCCCCTCTGGACTGCTTTCCACATTCTAAATCCTACCCACGCATTTATTTGAAATGCCACCTCATCCGTGAAGTTTTCCTTGATTCTTCTTCCCCAAAAAATGCCCAAACAATCAAACCGGGTGTAATCATTTCTCTTTTGAAATTTCATAATGATCGCTCTTTTCATCCCTCATGCATTATCATCAAGGCCTGTGGTGTGAACTGGGGCTGCTCAGACGTCCTTATCACAGGAGAAGCCTTCGGCTTTCAGGGTCTGCTACGTTGGTTATCTCCTGTAACTGGGTCCAGGTCCCAAGAGCTGGCTGCTGTTGTCGCCTCATCCATTTTGTTGTCTGTAAATTTATGTCTTCTTAGAAAACCTCTTTTTAAAAATGAGGTTTTGATTAGGTTTTGGAGGAGAGAGTAATTTGAGCATTTAAGTTACTTTAGCCAGAAAACAGGTTATTATAGAAAAGTTTTTAAAGAGCAATTTTGTAGTGAAGAGGGCTAGTTTATGCTTACCTTAAGATGAAGCAACAGGCTAAATATTTAAATAGATTTTAAATGACTCAGAAAATCCTGGGGTGACAACTCCATGATCAATTAAGACTTTAGTTTCTTAATATGGAGCAGGGGTTGGAGATTAGATTAGACAATCTCTGAGATCCATTCTTATCCTTCAGATTCTATGAATCTGTTTGATTATTGGTGGAGATCCAGGTCTTGGTGGGGAGGGACATCCCGTCCCTTCTGAAGCTGGGATCATGCTGGTCTCAGTGGGCGGAGTTGGCCGTGTCTGACCTCATGGGGCTGTACTTGTTCTTTGCTTCTGTTTTCCTCCACAGTGACAACTGAGGAGCCATCTCTTCACACTAAACATTCGCAGACCACAATACAAGCAACCTTAGAAAAGGAAAATGTTCCCAAACTGGCTAGGACGTAAACATAAAATCAAATGCTATTCCCCTCTAAGGATGGAGAGCCAGCAGGCAGACTGGAAATTTGCACACGAACAACTGTTCATTGATCTCCAAACACACTGTCCAAATGGCCTCCCAGGCAGCTGCCACTTTTACGTCCACCATACGGGACGTGGGAACTTCCTTGCCTGAATCCAGGGCCATGGGTCTCCTGGGACAGCTTTTTCAATTTCATCCCAGGGCTGGTGCCCTGTGGAAACCGAACAACAAAAGGCTGCCAGTCGTTAGAATGAGGCCATCCAGACTACACTCTGGTTTGAGAAGATCCCGCAGAACTCAGCAGGGAGCTTCTGACCTCCAAAGGGAAGCAGAGAAAGAAACTGTTAACGAGTAAGATGCTGGATTCTGTGTGAGATCACTACATGGAGAGAGCATTAGCGAGAGTCAGGAAGAACCTAGGAACTAGAAATCTGAATTGTCACTGCCAGGCCAGTCAAAACCACAGACCTTGAAGGTCCTCCAGCTCACTCTCTGCCTTATGTCTAAGCCCATTTCTGGCAAATACCTGCCCTCTTTCAAAGATCATCCGTGATGAAGGTTCTATCACCTTAATCAACACATTCTTGTGTATGATGTTCTTCTTTAAATCAATTTGAATACTTCCCTTCTGTATCATATCATGACCTTCTGTGTTTTAAAGCCATTTCCTCCTTCTATAGAAAAGATTTCAGATCTCTGACTATGTAGACTTTTGTCTCCTGTCAGACTTTTGTCTCCTGTCAGACTTTTGTCTCTGGCTCCTAGTGGGTCTGCCTGCCACATTTTGCCAGTCTCTATGCCCTATAAATCTCCACGTTTTTCTGAGTTGTAATTTCATGAAGATCCTTCCATGGCTGATAGGTCTCACTGGCCTAGGAACCAGGAGACCTTGATGCTGGTCCTCTGTGCATCACTGACTCAGCAGGAGTCGGAGAATTCACCTAACTTCCGGCATCAGGTTTGTCACCTGATAAATGAAGTGGGTGGATTAGCTCTCAGGTTCTTTCCTCCTATAGCATCCTGTGACTTCGGATGCTCAGTGGTCTGCTTCCTAGGAAGCACAGGAAAGAAGAGTTTGGTAAGAGGATCTTCGAGGGGACTGGGGGGCTAATGTTGCATTTCAGAAGGCCCCCCACATGTGTCTCCCCATTATCTTGGAAGACTGCCCGGGGCTGAGCTCGTGGTGATCAAGGGGCTGAATCTACCCGTTCTGTGGCTTTTCAAGATTTTAGAAGACGACATTGATAAAAAGAGGACGAGGTCATGCACTGTGGAGCAGCTGGCAAGGGCCGTATCAAAGACATCACTCTCGGAACAATTCTTCATTCTCCATCCGTGACTTGCAGGAGTGAGTTGCTCCTGGTCTCAGTCAGTCTCCACCTGTAGCGTATTTTCATTCTCTGAGGTGAACTCAGTAGCTCTTCTCTGAGGGGTATTTTGTAATGACCATGTTTATTATCACTTACTTTTTCATGAGTTCATATCTTATCTTTCCAAGATATGAGGACAAGATGCAAAGATATTTCTTTGTATACACAATGGGACATGGCCTACTGTTTTGTGTATGCTGATTGGTGTGATCAAGAACTTTCTGAAGTTTGGGATAAATTATCCACGAATTGGGTCATAGGAAAACAATTTTTTCCCCTGTCTGTGACTTCTTTTATATAACCTCAATCCTTATGCTAAAGAAGTTGATCTCCAAAATTGTTTTATTACCTTTCTAGATGGTCTGGGTTCATCATTGTGTAAGATACTTACCCCAAATACCTCACAGGACTTTTTTTTGTGGAAAATATAGATGGACTTGGGGATTAACTGGCACAGCGTGTAGAAAACACTCTGATAAGCGGCAAGCCTTCATCAAGTGTAAAATATCAGTACTGCACCAGACCGAGGGGTGACCCAGTAATCCTGTTCCCGTCCCCCAGTGTCATGGGTTGGGCAGGATCCTTACCTGTTCTGGAATAGGCTCCTCCTGTCGCTGGCTCTGCTTCCTGCGAGTGTGCCTGCCCGCGGATCTCAGCGCGGACCAGGGGCAGGTCTGCAACGCTGGCAGGAACTTACCTTCGCACTTGAGCAGGAAGAAGTCCGTGCTATGGCTGAAGGAGGCACTGAAGTAGGTGCAGTTGTCCACCAGGTCGCAGGACAGGCACTGCCTGTTGAAGTTGCCCACGGTGTTGGCGCTGGAGGAGCAAGGATCACAGGGCGTGAACTGAGGTGGGGGGAAACAGCCACAGCGGTCAAGATCCAGATCCCCAGCTCCGTATTTCAAGCTGCCTGATTTCTCTCCCACACAAGGTGTTCTGGAGCCCCTGACACTCACCACTGGGCATCTCTCCCTTCCGTCTCCCTGCTGGAGAGCCCATGAACACCCGGCTCTCTTTTTCCCCTGCTGTGAAGCCTTCCCTGGCCAGAAGACCCCTCCCACTGGTAAGAGCCCTCAGCACTCTCGCTTTATGGGCTGGTGTATGCCTGGTCATCTATGCTTTATTCAGGCCCCGTGCACGTCCCTGATGTGTGGAGAGGACAGCGTTTGATGTTATTATATAGTACTTTATATCCATGTCTCATCTCTCTGAGGAGATGATCAGCTCTTTGAGGACAGTAGACGTGTTTTCTGTATCTTTGAACTTCTCAGAGGACCTAACACTGGTGAACGACAAGGCAGCAGCTCCAGAAACAGGCTGAATTGATTTCTGGATGCTTCCAAAGCCAATTCTCTCGACAGAGTGAGATGATGAGGTACCACTTCTCACTCAGTGGAGCTGGGAGAGCAGCAATCGATTTGAAGATGTCACCCGGGACCACTCTGACTAAGTACAATTTCATGTCAAGAAGGCCTAAAAGGTGTTTCTAAAAGTTAAAAGATACCAAGCTATCTTTGAATACACCTGGAAGAAGCTCCTGTCTGAGCATTTTGTGCGGGAAGGGTCCGCTCTAACCATAGTTTCCAATATGCATCCTGTCTATGGGAGTGAGGATATTTCGAGGGAGACAGAAGACAGCCTTCTAAGCACATCAGTTAGAGGACAGGGTGGCAGTCTGCCTTGATCGCCTTTTATTAATCTGGTGACAGGACTGATCTGAGTTATCCTGGTAGACAGGCCGCGATGAGAAGTCTACAGAGAGAAGCAAGTCTACTACCACGTGGATTTGCAGGAGTTTTCTCCAGCTCCAGAAGGACCTCTCATGCTGGCCCTTATGCTCTGGGCATGTGGCCCAACGGAGGAGAGGGGAGACAGTCGTCCACCTGACAGGGCTTCTTCAGCGTCCCAGCAGTGGGGGAGGGGGAGAACAGGCTACGAGTCACCCGCTCAAGCCCCCAGGTCTACACCGCACGGTGTCTTCTGGAGTGGCCAGTGTGCACGTAGGCAGTAGCCAGCTGCTACCTTCCTTCCAGTGTGGGAAATGTTGAGGAGGTAACAGACTGCCCCGTTTCCCCTCTGCTGTGCTGGCAGAAAGTTCTCAGGGCGAATCCCACTTCAGAACCAAAACTTTCTCTGATGAGAATAGTAACTGGGGCAGTTGACAAGATTTATGCTAAAGAGGGACAGGTTCTGGAAAAAACCTCGTCCTTCTCCCAGGATTCAGAGGTCGCCCTTCCTGTGCCTTCTTTGAGATTATGAAACTCGACCAACGTCACACAGCAAGCTAGCCGTGGCACGGAGATGGCAGAACCAGCCTCCTGCCCCCAGTCCACTGGCACAGTCCCAAACCAGGCTTTCCCTCCTGTAACAACCCAGCTGAGAATAATCCCTCCAAGTCAGTAATTGAATAAAGGTGGAAAGGAAAGACTGTTACAAGTCCCCCAGTTACCAAGAGGAGAAAATAAGTGAGGGGGGAAATTCAATTAGACAAAAGCAGAAAAATAAAATCAAGCTTCAAATTTGGTGGCCTCCGCATTTTTGTTATTTCTCTTCAGACTTTATAGCTACTCATCTGTGGTGGGGGTTCTTCTTTGCTGCCTCCTAACGTACCGCTGAAAGGTGCAGTTGTGCCACACCCCGCCACCCTCCCGAGGGGGAGCCGCCACGTGCAGGGGAGGAGGCCCACATACCTGTAGAGCTGGCGTCTCCTCGGCAGGTCTTCCGTGCTGAGGAAGTAGCTGCAAAGACCAGCAGGCGCACAGGAGTTAGCAGGCTTCAGGCAGGTTTGCATTTCACATACCAGGCTCTCCCTGCACGGACACTTCTCGGGGACTCCCACCCTTCAGCGGCCTATAGCGAGCAATTCTCCCGCTCAGGTCCAGCTACACATGCGGTGGGGCTGGAGGCAGCCACACTCCCACACCCACGTGCTGAGGGACACGCCAGCACAGACCTCTGCTGGCCCCTGGTGTCTCCTGCATCGGCCTGCAGGGCTCTGCCATCGGGCAAGGGATGGTGGTGTACACCTGGATCTGGAGGCGGGAATTTCTTTACAAGGTTATTAACCTTCTGGAGGGCAAGGACCGAGAACCCGTAACACAAATACAGGCATAGAGCCTGGATCAACAACTCCTGTTGGCCAATTTTCACCTGGGACCCCAAATGTGGAAGAAACCTCGAGACGCTAAGAGAGATAGACGAGGTCCCCTGTGCCATAGTCTGCGCTCAGCGGGTATATAATTTGACTGAAAAATAACGGATGTGTCCCGGTCAGCAGTGAGATGGGCCCTGGGGCTGTAAGTTGCCAGCCACATGGTCTGATTCTCACTTACATCTTATTCCGCTTCTCGTCGTAGGACAGGATCTTGGTCACGTCCCAGTCCCCGGAGGTGATGGACTGTATGTTGTCATTGCTGCTGTTGGGCTGGAACACACAGACAGGACATGGAGGAGCGAGAGAGCTGGAGCCTGGCTTTGCTTCTTAATCCCGGAGCCCCTCAGACAGGAGGCAGCGAGGGGTGGTGAGCCTCTCTGGGCGGGGGGGGGGGGGGGGTGCCGTCTGCCCCGCCTCACCTGGTCCTCTCCTCTGAGGCTGGCTGAGATCCAGCCTCTTCCACAAGGCCTCGCTGACCACCCCCAGGCCACAGCCCTCTTCCCTTCTCTGAATTTGAGCAATGGGGAGAATCACATAGTCCACGTCTGTGGTACTTATCAACTGGTACCTCGATCGCCAGTTACTCCCACCACAACACGTGCATCAGAAGAGAGCCAATGCTTCATTGCTGCTGATACTGTTCCTTTACTCCACTAATTAGTGGAGTTATTATAGGAAGATGGGGAGGGAGGAAAGAAAAATATGGGGAAGTGGATGAAACAGGGCAAGGATACGGGGAGAAAAAGCATGAAGGACGGAAGGAAACATTCTGGCTCTTCTGTCATTCTCTGCCATCATTTACAAGGACGGTTTGAAACCCTTTTATTGAGTGTTGCACGTTGCACACACACTGCCTCTCCCTAAGTGCCTCCCGGAGTAGAATAATTATGACAATAAATCAGAACAGAAGGAGAGAGACATGATTGTCTCGACAGGAACGATGATTTGAAATAGGGTGTGGAGACGCCAAGGTGTGAGCCACAGGCTGGCTGTTCTGGACAGCAGGTGCCCCAGGAGGCAGGTGCTAATCGAATGGTGATTCAATTGGGTGAAGGGCCCAAGACAAACAGTGTGGGGACTTGGGGACCACAGAAATGGAAGTCTAGGGAGAAGGGAGAGCCTGTGGGGAGCAGGAGATTCTAGAAGGCAGCGGGGACCCGAGGGGCTCCTGGGGAGTTGGTGCCCTTCTGGGCAGCAGTGAGGGACTTGCTTCCAGCTGGAACGTTTCATAGGGTACTCAGCAAGTGCTGGTCACGTGGATGAATTCAGAGATGGGGCTGAGTGAAAACCCAGGAACATCTTTAAATCTTGATTAAAGTGATCCAAAATGAGAAAACATAGGAATCTGGGGCTACAGCATGAAGACCACAGGAATAAACAGATGAACACGAGCCAGTCTGCAGACAGTCTGTAGGTCGTGTAATGAATGTGTTGACAACTACGGTATCTGTGGCTGAGCCTCTGAGTAAACATGATCCCCATCACAGAGTCATAGCCCAGTCTCTGGCCCTGTCCCATCAAAGCGGCTCTTACGTTGGACATTCTTGGAATGTTTCCTTTGAATTGCGTTTTGGGGTATATATTATAAATATGAGACTTCTACTTTACATCCACAGAACATTTTTGATCACTTTTTTTAAATCAAATTTTATTCACCTGCTCTTATCCCAAATAATTTTAGACTGCTTCACAAATGGAATCTACATACCAAGGATGAGGGCTGTAATCATGGAAATGCCAAACTCCCTCTCTTCCTTCTTCCTAAGGGCAGAAACCTCCGAAAGTCTAGTGCTGGGGTAGCATCCCTCGAGTAGGTGGGCAGGCTCCCTGGGGTGACTGCTTTGCAGGAGGAGACAGCGTTCACTGGGCTGTCTTAAGCTGTGAAATTCTCTGCTCAGTGGCGTTCCGCTCTTAACCCACCAGACCCCAGAATCAGGTCAGTGACAGTTGGTAGCAGTGTTGTAATAGGATAACATCTGCATTTGGCTAAAAGTGGAACTGGGATGCCTTGGGAGGCTGGTCCATGGGGGAGCCATGAGTGCACTGGGCCCCGGCCTCGAGGAGAGTGTACGGGGTCACCCCAGCAGACAGGGAGGAAAGGCTGACGAGCACAGGATGGTCACACAAAGTAGTCGACACAAGCCCTCGGCTCATACCCAACAGTGGATGCCGGTTTCCTCTGATATTGTGAGAAGCGTCATTCATATTTTTGAGCGATAATAGAAAGGGCAAACGCGACCGCTACCCTGATCAGAACCTTGGACTTTATGAATGCCCCATTCTGCCCCACCTTGGGGAACCTACCTTCTAGTTAAGTACCCAGGGTTTGCTCTGGGGACCTTGAAGATGACAAGTGCACTCAGAGCGCTCAGCCACTAGGGGCCGTCACCAACACAGCAAAACAGTTTTGGAAACCAGCAGGATTTACCTGGGACGAAGACACGGTGATGTGATAAAATTTTCCTTGTCCTCCCTGCGGGATGGCTCTGACGAAGAAAAACTTTCGGCCATCCTTGGAGAACACCGGTTCTTCATTCTGTGGACGAAAGCAATCCATGAAGTCTACAAAAAGCTTCCTTTTGGGTTGAAGAGGTTGAACCAGGATAAATTACATTTTGAGATACATTTTCTATGTAATTTCTAATGAGAGATGCGGTTGAGAGAATAAACGCTGTGTGGGGCCTTTTCTTTCCTTGGGAACCATGAGTCAAACCTTCAGATTTCCAAGAGGAATAATGAGGGATTCAGAGGCGACAGCCTGAGCAGAGGCAGATGAAAAGGCATCCCTCAGTTTATAAAGCACCAGCGAAGGGATCAGGCCTGTGTGCGTCCCCCCCGCTCAGCAGAGAGCAGGCGCTCAGCCCTCAGACAGCGCGGTGCAGGGCTTCCCCTTCCCTGCGGCCCGCTGAAACCAAGGAGTAGTGCACGATTTCTCCAGGGGCATTTGCTATACATCATGAAGAACACAATTCTGAACAATCACAAACCTGATTTTGCCTAAAAAAAAATGAAATCTATTCTTTTAATCCTGGCTTTTGTTCTTTTATTTAATAGAATCCATCTCACACTGAATAGCCCACCAAGAAGTTAAGAAAAAAAAAAAAAAAAAGAAACAGCAAACAAGCACAGACTGTATACATCTTAAAGTGTAGGTGAGCGACAACGGTCCTCCCGGGAACTCGCTGTGCTCGTTGCATCGCTCCCAACTAGAGGGGAGTTCCACTCGGGCTTGCACCAGATGCATGTGTTTGCTTGCATCTACTGTCGTTTTTGCCTGGAAACAAAATCAGCATTCCCAGTTTTTCCCGGGGGAAGGAATTCCAGGCTGGATTCAAAGCCAGGACCTGCAGCGTGTGGCCGCCATCTCAGCCCGGCTCCCAGAGCTGAGCAGCCACTGCTCAGCCCCAGCCAGCCCCCTGGAGGGGTGAAAAGGAATTTTGCTACGGCGGCATCTCAGCCTCCCTGAAGCTCCAGTTTGCAAGTTTCCATCCGCGAACACCAATTAGTTGGCTCCGATACACATTTTCTGATTCAAGGAGCTCCACGCTAAGGCAGGATGAGAACAAATGGTAAATAAACCCCAGCTGGCATAAGGAAAACGCATTTCCCTGCTGTGAATGAGTACATGCAAATACGATATGCCCAGAGAAATAAACCAACATGTGATTAAAATGACATTTAATCTTCATGAATATTTGCAATAAAATGAAACCTTTAATCTGCAAATATTTATTTTTCTATTTAGAGTTGGAAGCATGCTATTTAAATGTAGAGGAAATGGAAAAACCAGCAGTAAATTTAGCTTTTAAAATGCACTTCTATTTGCCAACTGCAGGACAGATACTGCAATGTTGCCTCAGTTTTCTGGGGAAATGTTTGCACCGTTGGCAGAGAAAAATACTCTGAATAAATATAATAAATAATTAATTCTGGCCAGAAGCATTGTTTTAATACCGAGAAGGCCTCAATCACTTTAATGCCATTTTTACATTGAGCCATGGAACATTCCACAGTAGGCAGGCAGAGCACCAGTCTTTGAGCCTCTCTGAGACTTGGTTTCTCGTGTAATCAATGTATTTTTAGTGAAAAAGTGTAATGATTTCTGACTAGGAGACCTGGATTTTAATCGTGGTTCTGACTCTCATGGATTTGGGGGGAAGTGTTTCTAGTCTCTTGGGATAACAGAGAATTTATCATACAATACGCCTGGTTTCCCCACTCCCATTCAGAGCAGATTTGTGAAGAAGGAGTCCTTTTTATTGGTGAGAGATTCTTTGTGACTTATTTGTAGCATTTCTGCCAATTCTTTCCATGGTTCAGATACACTCACATTGTCCAATCATCCAGCCTGAATTTTGAAATCACAAAACCAAAATTCTGGTTAAGGAAGACAGACTGTCGGAAACTGACCTATGCGACTGCCTCTTCAACCATGACGATAGGTTCCAGGGTTCTACATCAAATGGCGATGGTCCTGGTGCAGGGCCCCCAGTGGATTTGCATCAGGACCAACTTTGCAAGGTCATGGGGTGTGATGGGGTATACTTGTGGTGGGGGAACTGCCTATTTCTGGAATATTCCTAGAGGAGAGGGGACTTGGTGGGTCTCCATCCATGGGACACATGTACACATTGCCTCTTTTTGTTGGCTCGGGGAGTCTCTGTGGGGATCCATGTTGGGGCCTCAGAAGGAGATGGGAAGAAAAGACAGGGGGATGGAGGCTCAGATGGATGGCCCCAGCATCACTCCAGCTCACCCTCACTTCCCTGGCAACGAGTAATCAGAGGACTGGTTGATCTAAGCGGATTGGGTCTCCCCGAGGTTAGTAGGATTTCCCAGACTCCAGTCTTCTCCTCAAATGACACTGCACCCTGGGCCAGCTGGGTCGAGCATCTGTGAGCCCTTTGAGGTGGATGGGCCTGCAGTGGCAGTCAACAGCTTCACTGGCACCAGACAGTGAACTTAAAAAAGTTCCTAACTCGCTCTCCAGGACCTCCGGTATCTCGAAGGATGTGGAGACAGTATGGATTATTTTTGAAAAATACAGTCCATGAATTCCTTTATGAAAAATCTCTTCAAAAGGAATGTCACGAGAAACTGTTGACACCAGATTTTCCTCCTGACCATGGAGTTCTGAGGGAACAGAAGCTAGAGGCACACACTGAGAGGGTGGGATTGTGCCCACCTAGTGGGGGCGGCTGGGAACTGGGGCTGGTAGTTGGATCTGACCAGGAAAAGCACTGTCTGAGAGGAATCAATTCCTTTATAGGACATAACATCTTCAACTCCAGAGAGCAGTATGTATTTTTCAATGGCTGTTTTTAATGTTAGCTATTTGCTTAGTAAATGCTTTAAAGTTCACATTTTTAAAGTGTAAGGATTATACTTTTACTTTATGCTACTTTTTAAGTGCTGACTTGATTTTGCTTGTAAAGATCTGGTTTCCCAAATCACATCCACGCTGTCTGTCCAGTGCTTTGCTGGGGTTCTCACGTGGGCAACGAGATGCGTGGTCAGTAAATACAGAAAAATCTCGGTGATGACGTGTCTGTGGTCCCTCTGCAGAGCTGACGAAGAGGCGTGCAAAAGGGGACAGCGCCACGGCATCCAAATTACTGACGACCAGCCAGGCGCTGGGCTCCCGTGTGAGTGCCCCTGACGGGGATACAGGGAAGTGGCTTGACCCCTCTGACCCTGGCCTGCCAACAGCCCCCTGTAAAGAAACAAGCCTGGTGGGGCCATCCCGGTGGCTTAGCAGTTAAGTGCACACACTCCGCTACTGGCGGCCAGGGTTCGGATCCCGGGCGCGCACCGAAGCACCACTTGTCAGGCCATGCTGAGGCCGCGTCCCACATACAGCAACTAGCAGGATGTGCAACTATGACATACAACTATCTACTGGGGCTTTGGGGAAGAAAAAAAGGAGGAGGATTGGCAATAGATGTTAGCTCAGGGCCGGTCTTCCTCAGCAAAAAGAGGAGGATTGGCGTGGATGTTAGCTCAGGGCTGATCTTCCTCACAAAAAAAAAAAAAGAAAAGAAAAGAGAAAAGAAACAAGCCTGGGCTGCTTTGGCAAGTTCATCCCTCACCTCTTCCCACTCAGTACAAATTCTGCGCACGACATAACGCCCGGTCCCAGCCCTGCCACCCCCGTGTCCCACGCTGTTTTCTCTGCTCCCAGCCCCGCCAACGGCTAACATTTAAACACAGTTTCTGAGCATGTTTTAGGATTATTCTCCTTTGCCACACTTTGGAATTCATGTGCACCTTCATCTCCCTTTCTACACTTGACACTTTCCAGAACTGCTGCTCTAGCGGATTCATTTCTTTAAAAGTTGAGGTGAAGTTCACATAACACAAAATAAAACATTTTAATAAAAGTGAACAATTCAGTGGCATTTAGCACATCCACAATGTTGTGCAACCACCATCTCTATCTAGTTCCAAAACATTTCCATCACCCCCAAAAAACCCCGTATCCAGTAAGCTGTTACTCCCCATTCCTCTCTCCCCCAGCCCTTGACAACCACCAAATAGCTTTCTGTGAATTCATCTATTCTGGATATTTCACTTAAATGGAATTGTACAATGGGTGGCCTTTTGTGTCTGGCTCCTTTCACTTAGCAGCATGTCCACAATGGCCAAAAGGTAGAAACAAACCAAATGTCCATCAACAGATGAACAAATTTTCATATATCCATACAGTGGAATATTATTCAGCCATGAAAAGGAAGGATCTTCTCACACATGCTACAACATGTGCTCAGTGGAAGTAGCTGATTCATTTCTGAAACCCACAAAGCCTAGCATGGTGCCTGGTATGATCCATAAATACTAGTTGAACGGATGACTATATAGGTAACAGTTATTTTTTCTGGTCCTTTCATTTCAATCTCTTTGGCATTTTGTTTGATATAAAAGGAGCACCATAACATTACTTTTGATATTTGTGCTTATATCGTTCATTGGTCCAGGTGGCATTCAAGAGCTTCCTGGCATAATTCTTGCATAATCCCAGCATAACTTCCCAGCTACTATTGTAGGTTTCCCAAGCCCTCTCTCATTCTTGATATTTCTTAGCTTGGACTTGGCACCCAAACTGGTAGACAGGAAAACAGAAGTGGCCATTGGGGCCATTCCCCCTCTGGAGAAGATGGCATGGAGCAGAAAAAGGACGTATTTAAAAGGAATAGTGTTCCTTTACGAGGCTGCCACCCCAAGATAATTGACAGAAGGCTGGGACACATTGCTAATTCCACAGATTAAAGAAGTGTACGCCAGTCAGAGTTGCTGGAACGCTCTTGGAGAGCCGTTGTTGAGTTGTACGGTCCAACTTCAGTTAATTACCATAAATGGAATCCATCACATCAGTAAAGAAGCACACCTGCGCCCTCTCCACCATAAATCTTGAGACTCAAATCTGGTGTGATTTTTCCCACAGAATTTTCAGACAATTTCCATCCCATTAGGTAGGATAAGAAGGAAGTAAGTGTTGAAAACTTTCTCAACTGTTCTTTCTAATGTCAGGGTGTGGAATGAGACAAAAAGAACTGAAGGAAGAAAATATCCGTGCTGAGAGTTTTATTTTTGAAGTAAGTTTAATTTTTTTTTTTTTTTGGTCACAGAGTGAGTTATTGTAGGCCTCTCCTGACATCTTCTAATCTCAAGCTCTTGGAGCCCATTTGACGTGCATTTCTTCTCTGAGTTAGGGACGGCAAACCCAGGGATGGTTTTGAAGTCAGTTCCGAGGAAGGTTCATGCTGAATCACAGCGGAGTCTACTTCAGATGAGACATCATGAAACCATGCTGAGAAAAACAGGAGTCTCAGCCACATTTTCGTTTACTTTTACCATAGTAGGTTCTATCCAGGCAAGTTTTATGGACTCATCATTTTTAATTTACTGAACGGACATCATCTAACTGAGAACTGAAGTCTTACCAAACACTGTATGTTCTCAAGAGCAGTGATTCTCAGGCCACCTTCCGTGAAGCTCTCCGACTCTCCAGCAGTGCTCAGGGGCCATGGAGGGGAGCAAGTGCCAGACAGCGCTGAGCAGCCTGCCCAGCTCACTAGAGCCACACACATTATGTGCCTCCTTGGGGATTCCCACAGGATTTAATGTGAGAAGCTGTTCTGTTGTTGTAAAGGCTCTGAAAGCCACCATGGCAGTGATTCTGGTGGCGGGTGTAGGCGCAGAATGTGGGAACTCGAATGTAGAATAGTTACCTGTCTGTGGAGCCAGGCTTCACTTTCATCCTCGTGTTTCTGAAATGAAATAAAAGCATTAGAGAAAGGATTTTTTGCGTGTATTGTGTCTGTGACCAACAGTGCAGAAACAGTTTGATTCCCCTCCATGGCAGTTGCGCGAGCACAGACAGCGCTGTGGCTCAGGGAGGAGCCCATCCCCAGCTCTCCTCTTCAACTTGTACTATGGCTCAGAGATGAACACAAACGTCCCTGAACAGGAAAAATGTCACTCTCCCCAGCAACGAGGACAAATCCATGGCAGGTAGGAATCCTTTGGAAGACAGTACACTTCTACCATTTGATGTTCATTTCTGATCACACACATGTCCATCAGATGGTCACCACTGACCAGGCACATGTCCATTAGATGGTCAGCTCTGACCAGACACGTGCTCATTAAAGGCAAACCTCAGATGCTACATTGTTTTAGGAATTCTTGTGTGTGTGCCTGCGGCCGTGAGCAAGAGTGTGTGGACGTGTAATAAATTTCCAGTTCACAGCTTTGAGAAACAATCCTGGTAGACCACAACATTAAAAGTGGTTAAAATGTATATGAAAAGTAGACCTCACAGAACCATGGAGAAAGACACATAATGGAAGACAAAACCAAACCAACCCCCAAACACCAAGATGTAGCTATTCAGCACAGGCGGCCCCCAAGGTGCAGTGGAGCTGTCCCTGATGCTGATCTGGCCTCCAGCCGCCCGAGGGCAGCGGCTCTTTTACCTGCGGACTATTGGCAATGGAGTTTCTGTTGCTGGAACTCATAAGATCAGGGCACAGGTAAGAGAAGACGTAGAATATGAGCAATTCCCAGCTTCCTAGCTGTGTGTCCACTCTTTCCTTCCACCCTCTCGAGCAAGCCCATCAGAATAAGCTGGAATCTGCTCTAAGTCATGCTAACAGATAAGGCAAATCACTAACCCACCTGAGTACATCAGTCTCAGTAACAGCTCCCTGCCACTCACCTCAAAACCATATTCAGGCAGCAGCGTGAGGGCTATAGTTTCAGGGCCTGCCAAGTCACAGCAGAGCTGCTTTGCAAGGCTTTTCCCTCCTCAGAGGGGAAATAAAAATTTAGAGTCAAAGAAGAGTTTCTGAAAGACCTACCTGGATTTATTAATTGACTTTAATTGATTTTTTTTTTTTACCCCACACTAGGAGATCTGCCTCTTGTGGCTAGACCTAGAAGTGTGGAAGATGGAGCCCGCAGGGTGGAGGGTGGGCCACTGCGGGACCTGGAGGCAATGGGTGGGTTGCTCACTCACTTTGCACGGTTGCCAGGCCTTTCTTCACGTTTTCACTCTTTCTTTGCTCCCTCTGTGCATTTCACTTTTCATTTTGTCTTCCCTACCTTCTCCTCCTCTACACATCAAGTCAGCCCGAGGCCCCCAGGAACATTGCCCCAGGGGGCCCCAGGGGGCCGACTGGCTATGGTCCGGTGAGGACAGAGCTGCTGAAATGGAGCAGGGCAGGTTGCAGAGCAGGCTCCACCCGGGTCCTGGGGCCTAGGGCAGTCCCTTCCCCTCTCTGAGCATTAACTGGAAAATGAAGAGAAAGCTCCTTGATGAAACAGCAGTGGGCATGGATAAAGGGAAATAACGTCTATGAACTGTGGAGGGCAGATGGTGTGAGGCACAGAATGGATTAGCCCTGAGTTTTGTAGCAGTTGTTAGTTCATCCACAAGGTGGCACCAAAACAGAGACCTGGACGCATGTTGCCACCTTGACTAGCAAGTAGCTAAGCGGTGGTTTGTCTACAGTGACCAAATCCAAACGGCTTGAAGGTGACCTTGATGCCGCCTTGGGTGCTTCCTGCCTTTGGTTCTTGCCCCCCGCCCCGTACCTTTGTGCAGACCCCAGTGGTGGCGTCGCAGAGAGTGAGGATGGACACGTTCTGCGCCCTGCTCAGCCAGTTCACGGCGACCTTGGTGCTGGTGGCCCATTTCACCATTGTGATGTAGTACTCCCTGAGAACACACAAACGCACAGAATTAGCAGGTTTGCAAGACCCACGGGAGCCAGGAGCTGGGCACATCCCAGCCCTGGACGTCGGGGCCAAGGACTAGGGGGTGTGGGGGATGATGGAGACGTCCCGCGAGGCTCTGAAACGGGATTTCTCAGGAACGTTCACAGACAATGAACTCCGATGGGAGCTGGGCCACTAACACGCTGGAATAAGCCACACAGAACTGTGTTCTTGCTGAGTGATTCCCTCAAGGGTTGTATGTAAAGAGCACGTGGCCCAGCAGCCAGCTGTTCCATCCACCGACAGTGATGCGTTTGGGTTCTGCTTCGCGGGTTTTACAAGCCACGCTGTGGCTGACACTGTCCCACTGACGATTTTCATTTCACAGCCCAGGGCAAATGCACCTCATGCTACCGGAAGCAGCGAGGAGGTCCCATGGGAGGCAGAGAGAGAGGAAGAACCAGGAAGGGCTGGGAGAGCGCGGCACCCAAAGTGTGTAAAATGCTATAAAAACACCCCAGGCCATGCTGAGGAAGGCTCTATTCTCCTTTTCCCTCTCCTGGAAGGACAAAATACCCAGGGATGTTCTCTGGCCAATTAGGGAAACTGGTTCACGGCTCTGGCCATCAGGCGGGCTTGGTCTGATGTCCTCGATGTCATTCGCCTGCTTTTACCCAAACCTGAAAATACCACAGTGTCTGCACCACCCTATACCGAGCACAAGGGGTACTGGGGCTCCTGGTAATTAATTCAATTACCCAGGGCCCTCCAAAAATGGGCTTTTATGTGGAAAATGTACATTTAAGAGGAAGAAGGAAATGTCAAAAAAGTGCACAGAAAGAATATCCTCAGATGAATTCCAAGAATGTTCCAGAGGCCAGTGAACATGTGTTCCATTGCCTACCCCATCTCTATCTATAATGAGATCTATTGTTCAGAATGATTACCCTGTGGTCTTACAAGATCCTTTATCACCGAAGACGGCAGCACATTCACCAGACAGTTCCTAGCAAGCTGGGAAGGGGCCTGAGTACATTTAATAATTATTTTCAACAGAAACCTAAATAGCCAGGTGCTTTGAACTAAGTGTCAGTTAACCAGGAGATTAAACTGCTGTGTCCCCTATTTCTCCAGTCTGCCTGCTAATCGAAGTTTTTAATAACTTAACCTAAGTCAAGAGCGCGCAGTCAACAGGACGGTGAAGTTCTCTGACTTGGCTGGAGGGCAGGCCCGGGAACGGCTCATCGAAGTCCCTGTGAATCTACCGAGGGCATGGTGGTGAGTCATTCAGGCATAATCCAATTTTTATGATTTTCAACCTTCCCAAATTCTGTGATTTCTGGCACATGGCTGTTCCTGTTCATACCATCTGCTCAGCGAGCCCGCAGGCCCCAGGGAACCTGGGTCCGTGTGTTTACAGGCTCTGCTTTCTCACTGCATCCTCTCATGGCTCCTACCCTGAAAAGTAACACTTCCTCTTAGCAGTGTCCTCTGTGGATCCTGCTTTGCTGTCTGTTTCACTGCCCGAGGCTTGGAGCCACATGTATAATGTGGGACTTTCTCATCTCCCTGAAAATTTGTAGGCATAGAAATATTTATCTAGCTTTTGTTCTTAAAAGTCACTCAGGGTCTGTGCCCAGACCTTGCTTCACGTGAAATACCTTTTATTTCTGAATTTTGTCATAACTGGTCGTTGGGTCCCTGCTGGACAGATGTTGAAGGGAGACCCATAGCTTGAACGGCCATGTGGATGGACACGAGCTGACTCCTGTCTTCTTGGACTAGGGGACCTGTTTGAAGCAGATGTTCACGTCGAGAGTGTGGTGTGTGAAGGCACAGTGACAAGCCACACTTACTCTGTCAGCAAACGTATCTCATCCAGATGAAATCAGACAAAACTCAGATCTCCTGAAATGACTATTTTTTCCATGGCCTCCATACTAATTAGGGAGGACCCTATTCTTGTTTCCATTTGTCAGAAAGATTCTAGTTTTTATGGTGTTCTTTTGCACAGGCTTCGTATAGACCAGGTATGAAAGAAAAAATTATTCTGACCCATGTTAAAATTGTAAGGCTGACTTTCTTCAGGACCATCGTGGTAGGTGTGGAGACCACTGCAGTGGGGTTTGCAGTGGCAGAGAGATCGGGCTGAACTCTGGACACAACAAGAAAAAGTGGGAATTTATAGCTAAGAAGCAGATGGGGTCAATGGATGGAAATTCCTAAGAGGAAGCATCAGAGGTGAGGGGGGTTCTGGTTATATTGACCTGACAGGATTCTGCTGAAGGCAGGCCAGTGATCAGAGCTCACCTGGGGTTGGTGGGGCTGAGAAAGGTGATCAGATGTCGAGGTGGCGGATCCTGGCTAAAGTGCCTTAGCAGGATTCTTGCTACAATTGGGTGATGCAAAGATGCACACGGAAGCCCAGGTGTCGAGACCTCGTTGGGAAGAGGGTTTAGAGGAGCCTGACTAAAGTTTGGTCAAAGAGAGAGAGACTCTTTGTCAAGACTATACACTGTTATCAACTTTCCCATTTTCTAATTTGGTCTGAGAAACATTATAACTGGAAATAAATAGACGAATGCAAACTTTCCCTTTTTGGTAATAAGCTCCTTAGTGAGACCTTTGGAACAAATCACACAAGAAACATGACTGAGCCGTGGACTGTTGGACAGCGTGGGGGTGGGGCTGGGGTGTGCGCCATCAACGGCAATCGCATGGCCAACAGAACCATTTTATTGTTCATGTTTAAAGTCCTCGGCCACAAAATATGGAAGTGCGGTGGCAAGCCTGCTCCATGGGGCTGGAGGAGTCGAGAACATTACTCTGGAGAGGAGTGTTACTTCCTGAAGTGCAGCCACATGCCCAGTTAAAGTGAGAGCTACTGTCGCTCTCTCTCTATTTTTCTTTCCTAATGTGTAATATGAGGCATGTTGTACAAAGGAAAAAAATAATTGTACTATCCATGAGGACAGTTGAATGTGGACCTTTGCCCAGCTCTGTGGACCCTTGCTGGGGTGTGAACATCACCCTGGATGAAGTGGCGGGATGCAGCTTCCCTCCGAGGTCTGTGAGAGCTCTGGTTCCACAACTCATTTTATCTGGAACTCAAATCCTCAGTTCCTTCATCTGTGTGACAGGAATTTCAAAAAGAACTGATGGCACCATCAGAGATTTTTATGGTGATGAAATATAGTGAGAAATGTTTTTTAAAACTCTTGAAACAATAAAAATTATTTAGGACTCTATAAAGATTACATAATACACCTCCACATAAGTAGGTAATGCTCCTTCACGGTGAGGGCGTCACATGCGTCTTCCAGATGTGCCGTGGTTCATCAGAACACTCTCGAACCTTTCACCTGAGTCATCTTCTGAACTTTACATTGGTCTCATTACCTATACAGTGACATCTTGTCTCTAATAACATTTCCCAGTTCCATAAATTGTATCAATGATTAGGCTTGGTGCCAAATATGTTTTGGTTATTTAAAAAAATCAAGTCAACTTGCGAAGATAAAGCATTGCCAAGAATGGGGTGGTTTTAAAGGAGTCCCAGAAGCATTTGGTGATGAGGTATGAAGCCTCACAAAGTGGTGACACTTTGGACGGAATGACATTCTTTTGCTACGTAAGGTTTTGTAGTCACACCATATGTTAATGGAAAGGAAAATAAAACATGTACCCACTTAATGAAGCTTTCCCCAAGCAGAATAAGAAAAGTTCTCCTAGTTCCTAATATAGTTTCCATTTTTCCTAATTTCAAAGCTGTTAGCTTAGTGGTTACATGCAGGAGAAATGGAATAGACTCTGATTGTATGGTTTGAGTCAAGAACTGAGGCGGTGCCTGTGTCGAGTTATTGTTGATTATTTAGGAGAAGTGACTATTGGGCTGTCACATATGGCACAGACATATGGGCACATCAGGCGTAGATTCCACAAACATAAAGACAGATTTCCAGCACACAGTGGTGTCTGGTGAGCAAATCTGAGGTAGCCTGTACCAACTTTGTGTTAATGTTCCTATAAAGACACAAAAAAGTATTGTGAAAAGTCACAATACCACCAAAAATGAATGCCGAAAATCTGCAACTGCAACATAGATGGAGACGGGAGAAACCAAACAGCGGGTTGCTCGAGTTTTCTCAGCTGCATGAGACGAGCCACAGGAGAGCAGAAGGAAAATGTTTTTCATCATGTTATCCTTGTTCAGAAATGCTGGGCTTGCAATAGCCAGAAATTTGGGAAGCTAAACCTTTACTACACGGGTTACAGAAGATCATCATTTTACATGTACACCAATTGACTTGAAATGTCAAAAAAAAAAAATTCTAAAGAAGGCAGAAGAAAAATCTCAACTCGAGGCACACCAGACGGACATGGGTTAGACGATGTCTTCCTGATTCCTCTGAGAAGGGTTTGACTGGCACCCAAAAGCTCAGAGAGAGGAATCAAAGGTAACCCTCACGTCCCATCTGTTGCCAAATATCAGGTGCGGGTGGTCTGTCTTATGAGTTAGAGAACCATGAAGGTCATACAAACAGTGCAGGTGAAGGGAAGAGAAATTATGCCAAAAACACAGAAGAAGAACAGAACCCTAAAAACACAGGATGAGATGAAAGAGGTGAGATAAGGGGACTGCAAAGAATGAAAATGGAAAATTAGAGGAGTTTGACTCAGAGAAATTGAGGAAAATTTGGGAAGCTCTTCCAAGATGCAGAGGAAGGTACCACAGAGGTGAAGTGGAGGAAGGTGGATTGTCTGCACACCAGGGAATGTAAGTGCTTCTTATGGAGAAACCAGAATTATGGGAAGAGAAGCAATCACGTCAGACATAGAGAAAGAGACATCAACATGAGGAAAAAAAGACCGAAAAATGCAGATTAAAAGGATTTTCCATGTTCCAGGGAAATTAATAAAACACCTAAATATGTTCTGATAGAATCTTCAAGTCTAAGGAAAGAGAAATTCCACAACAATCCAAGAATAGGAAATAAGTTT